TGTGACCAAGTTTCATTTGCCTAATTGGTTTAACAGTGAGAACTGCTTTTGCCAGTTAGGTTACACAGCATATATTTTCTATAAATTGAATGATTCAGGGTAATTTGCATCTTCAGGTTTTGGCAAGATATAGTTACAGTACAAGATAAAGCTGTTTTGTACTTTGTCTTTATATTTTCACATATGGGCAAAAGTGTACTTTTTATTTTTAAAAATAAGTTATAGTAGTTAGAGTTTTAACTCTTTTTGAATATATGGAATATTTACAAGTTGCCTGTAAGTGAAAACATAACATGTTACTCTTATTTTAATAATCAGTTTGTAATATTTATGTTGCCTTGATAACATCAAAAAGTACAATGTCAGAAATTTTAACACATAAAACCTTATAAGATGTTAAACCTAAGTATGATAAACTTACGATATATAATAAATCTTTGGTGATATGTGCCAAAGTACTTAGAGGTGAAATGTCTTTATATCTGCAACTTGCTCTAAAATAATTCAGATAAAAAGGAGGGGGAGGGAAAGAGGGAGCTAGAGATAAAGCCGCAGTTGCAAAATGTTAACAACTTGTGAATTTGGGTGAAGGGTATTGTTCATTTTAATATTCTTTCAATTATGCTGAAGGCTTGAAAAATTTTGAAATATAAAGTTGGAAAAACGTAGTAGCCACAGAGATTAAAAAATTAATTTTAAGAAGTATGTGTCAGTATTATAAGAAATGTCTTACCAGGGTAAAAATATATTAGGATAAAATTATGTGGAGGAAGTAGAATGAAGGGCTTGTTCTTGAATTTTTATAAATGGATGATGGTGGTATGAAATTACTTTGGCTTGTAGATTTCATTGGTACATTTAAAGGCAATGGAACTATTTTATTTTAAAATGTCAACTTTATTTCAGAAATGTTATCTTTTGCAACTCTTCAGACTTATGGAAAATTTTAGATGCCAAATTAGAAATCTACAAGAACATATATGATTTAAAAAAAAATTTGTGGTAAGCAGGCAGACAGGTTTGGAGACTTCAGACCTGGCTAACATTCTTTCAGCTCTTTGGATTCTAGGAATATGGTGCTATGAGTTCACTCAGTTATGCTTCACACTGGCAGATTATCCTGGCATGGACAGATGGATGTGACTGTTTTAGCAAAGGCGCTGTATAGCTTATGAAGCACAACCATAATAACCTCCTCCCCAAACCTGAACTACTCCCACAGACATACAAACTTTTATGTTCAGCTGGTGAGAGTAATCATAATATGTTGTTATGTTAAAGGACAGAATTGTTTTATGACCTTGTAATTTCCCTTTTCTATAAATGTGAATAATTTCTTAAGAAACTCTATCATATGTTAATGATATTACTAACATAGTTTTTACTGGCCATGAAACTAGTAATTCTATAATCCAGAAGTTTACAAATGAACTTTTTATTCTTCTAAGTGTAGTATAAAAATTGTCTGGAGGGACTTGTGATACTTTGACTTGAAGTCATTCATACAGAGATTTGGAATGTGTATTATGAATATTTAGTTGTGTGGGAAATCTAAATGTCATTGTGTTATGGTATAGACTATACCCATACCCTGTAGTACTTACTGACTGACTTAAATCTTCTCCTAAAAGGTTAAGATTTAATTTTTGGATTGGAAGAGTGAGGCATAATGTACACATTGTACAAGACTATGGGGGATGAAAACCATGTGTACTTTTCTTGGTCAGGGACGCTGGGAGAATATAATTTCCTTGAATAGATCAAGCTGTCAAGCTAATAGACCAGCATTGTTCTCATAACCTTATCAACTGTTTCCTTTGGTTTTGTACCTGAAAATGGGAGATGGTGGAGGCTTAATTTAATGAAATATAGATTAAAAAATCGCTGGTGGCATTTTCAGAATTGTCCGTCATTTAACCATGAAAATCAGAAAATTACAATTACCATTTCATTCTCAGATCCCATTAAAGTTTTGTCATTTGTCTTAATGATTTCCTTTATAGTAGAAGATGCAGTTCAGAACCACATATTACATTTAGTTGACATGTTTCTGTAGTCTTTAAGTCTGGAACAGTTCCTCGTTTTTTGTTAAATATATCTTTATTGATTTCAGAGAGAGGAAGGGAAAGGGAGAGGGAGAGAGAGAGATAGAAACATCAATGATGAGTCCTTGATTGGCTGTAGCCCACAACCCGGGCATGTGCCCTGACCAGGAATCGAACCCCGATCTCCTGGATCCTAGGTCGATACTCAGCTGCTGAGCCACGCCTGGCTGGGCAGGGTTTTTTTTCTTCTTAACTTTAGAGATTACCGGCCAATTATTTTGTAGACTGAACTTGGGTTTTCCGGTGTTTTTTTTATGATTACACTCAGGCAGGAATTTTGCAAAACTGATTCAATGTTGTTATTACCTTCTGTCAGATTGTATGATTGCAGTTTGTCCCATTGCTGTTGTTCATTGATAACTGGATTAAGGTGGTGACTGCCAGGTTTTCTGTATTAGTTCCTGTTGCTGCTGTAACAAATTACCACAACTTTAGCCCGGCCAGGCGTGGCTCAGCGGTTGAGCATCGACCTAGGATCCAGGCGATCGGGGTTCGATTCCCGGTCAGGGTATATGCCCGGGTTGTGGGCTCGATCAGTGACTCTCTCATCATTGATGTTTCTATCTCTCTCTCTGAAATCAATAAAGATATATTAAAAAAAAAAACAAATTACCACAACTTTAGTGGCTTAATACAACACTAATTTATTGTCTTACAGTTCTGGATACCACAAGTCCAAAATTCGTTTCACTGGGCTAGCTGCCATATTGGCAGGGCTGGTTTTTTCTGGAGGTTCTAAAGTAGAATCTGTTTCCTTGCCTTCTCCATCTTCTAGAGATAGTCCATATTCCTTGGCTTGTGGCCCCTCTCTCCATCTTCAAAGGACATCTCTCCAACCTTTACTCCCATTGTTGCATCACCTTCTGTCTTTGATCCTCTTGCCTCCTTATAACCATCCCTGTGATTATGTTGGCCCCACCCAGATAATCTAGGATGATCTCCTCATGTCAGGATCTTTAATTTAGTCACACATGTAGAGTCCCATTTGCCATGTAAGTTGATATATTTACTGGTTCTGGGTTTTAGGATAAAGACATCCTGGAGGGGGGTGGGATGAATTATTCAGCCTACTTCCCCCCTGTAAAATAATTCTTTTCTCTTATGTAATGTTTTTGTGGGAAGATACTTTGATCCCTGCTTTCTGTTAGTGGAGAATGGTATTTAGAAACCAAGATCTGGGTGCTAGGTGTGCTCACTACTAATGAAATGACACTGTTCTAGGCTCACTTATTAGATGGAGCTAGGGAATATGTATGTATGTGTATTGAACTACATGTATATTAAAATATATTAGTTCATACTGATGCCTTCAATTCCAATCCAATACCACAGGGTTCATTCTTGTTTTCTATTTTTTTATATATATAAGACTCTGACAGTGAAAAATTGATTCCAGTTATCCTTAATATGCAGGGATGGGCAAAATAGGTTAATAATAAATAATACAATAATTAATAAATAATAATACAAGAATAAACTCTGTATTTCATGTAGTCACAACTGTAAACCCACTTTTGTCCACCCCTGTATTTACTTATTTGATCAGTCCCCCTGGATATCACCCTTCTGCCAACCCCCTTTCCTCTACATGGATCCTCCTTCACCATACTTGGTTCTGTAACCCCTTGCCATATAGCTGTCCCATGTGGATGCTTTCCTCAAAGCATGGAGCTAACAGGGTAGTTGGACTTCTTATATGGTGGCTTTGGAGCATTCTGTTATTTATAAAGTTCTTTTATTTACCTGACATCTCATTTAAGGACTGTGATTTATTATTTTTTTAATATCATGAAAAAAATTTATATTTAGTATTAGCCAGCTGGACTCAGTTTAGATGATCTCAGTTTTATTGGCAACATCTAAAGCATCATACATAGTCAGGACCCAGTTGAATGTATGCCGTCTCCATCACGACTGAGCAGTGTGTGACCTTGGCCATGTCATTGTCTTAGAGCTGCTTTATTTTTAATCCTCACTAGAGGATATGTTTTTATTGATTTTAAAGAGAGAGAAACATTGATTGGTTGCCTCCTGTACATGCCCTGACTGGCAGTCAAACCCACAACCTTTGGCGTACAGTATGATGCTCCAACCAGCTGAGTCACCCACCAGCACTGTCATAGAGCTTCTTCACAGTCTGTTTGATCTGGTGCTCGTTGGCCTTGACATTTTCAATGAACACAAGTGTGCTTTTGTCTTCTGTCTTCATGGCTGACTTCAGTGCTAAGGGAGAACCTGATGGCATAGTGGTCAAGCTTGTTGCTATTGCGAGGGTATTTGGGCTGCCTTAGAGTGTTTTGGGCCTCTAGAAGGTGAATAACAGGTGGATCTTTTTTGTGTGTGTGGCTGTGGATGCCTTATAGCACTGCCTTCTTGGCCTTCCAAGCCTTTGTTTTGGCTTTGGCTTTGGGAGGGACAGGGTTTTTTTTCTTTGCTTTCTGCATGCCATCTTTGTGAACAGGTATTTTATTTTAAAACTTAAACATTTTTTTAAACTTGGGAGTATTATTCAGACCAAGTGATTGTAGTTTTATTATAGTGAAACTCTACATGATATTTTGGCTTTGGTTTAATTTCAATTGAGTTGCAGATTTTTCCTGGGGACTAATACAATATATTTTGTCATATCTCTTATATGAACCTACTTTAACTACTTATGGGTTTGAGTGACTTTTCTAATTTAATGTAATTGTTTTCATGTTTGAAGAATATCATTTCTGCTTAGCTTCCTTGATAAACCACATGCTTCCACTATTTTATACTTTTTATTCCTTCTATAGTAGAAGGGAAAGGAGGAGAGAATGTGTCAGAAATTACTGATTATATGACTAAATATTTTGGGTTCAAGTCAGTTTTTACATTTTTCAATTAGAAGTTATTTAAATCTCACATGAAAAATGATCCCCTGGTAGTTGAATAAAATTTTCCAAATACTTCATTTGTTCTAAGTGGCAGAAAATTTAACCTATCCTGTGAATTTCTCTTAAATGTTATTTAAGTAGGCAGTACTTTCATGTTCCAATAAAATATTAGCATGGTAATGAAGATTAGTATGGTATTAACCCTGGTTTTTCCTTCACTGTGAAAAATGATTTAACTTATCACCTTAAATTTTTTTGACAGAGCAAATTCGATTAAAGAATATCAGAAAAGTGTATGGAAGATGTATGTGGTATCGTTTACGGTTATTAAAACCCCAGCCAAATATTATTCCTACAATAAAGTAAGTATTTGGTTTCAATAAAAAACATTTAGTGTTTACTTTTTGCTAGGTATCATCTAAAACGGGTATAATAATGAATAAAACATGTATCTGTAAAGAAATTGTGGCCTTAGTAAGTGTAAGATGTGAATAGTAAATTTGAGAGCTGTCTGAAGAGTGGTTTGTACATTCAAAGGAGAGTGTACTTCTGACTTGGGAGGAGAGGGAGAAAGAGAGGTCAAATCTTGCAGGAAAACCTTGTGCATCTGGTGTCAGGATTTGAATTTTGTCTTAAATACTATAGGGGAATCTTTAAAAGATTATCAAAAAAGCAGGGAGGTGACATGATCAAGATTGTATTTCGTGGTGATAAAGTTTATTGAGCACATACTGAGTGCCAGGTGCTGTGCTAGGGCTTTATATGTTATCTCATTAGTTTTATATTCAAGGTAGATTTTTTTGCTTTTTCTCAGATGAGGAAACGGACTAAGAAAATGAGGTAACTTGACCAAGGTCATACAGCTAGAACTGGTGGATTGGGGACCTAGTTCCCTTTTATTTTGTCAGGCCCATCTGTTTTAAACAGGCCATTATCATGTTTAATTAGAGCAGGCCTATTTGATTTTATGAGGCTTTGGGGTATGCTTGGTTTAGAGCCTAGGCTTTGGATCTTCACCCTAAGTCATCAGTTTAGAGGTAATAGATGAAACTGATAGGAGGCGAAAGAGTTGCTATTATTGGAGGACTGTATCTTGTGAATTACCTACATTTGTCTATCCAGTAGATAGGAAGGGAAGGCCTAACAGAGGAAATTAGTAAAAGTTGAACCAGTTATGTTTTAATCTTGTTTTAAATGATGATGGTAGTTTTCAATATACCTCTGTAACTTCAGGGGGTTTAAATAGTTTTTCTTTTTAGGGCTTGACTTTGTCTTGTTTAGTTCCTTTGTAAGGGAGGGAAATCTTGACTTTGGTGTTGAGCTCTCAGTGATGTGAAACTAAAAGGCAAATATTTTTGACCTACCTATCTCTCCTTTTCTGGGCTTTGGTCAATACTTTGTAGGTATTTGAACCTCAGTTTTCAAGAAAAAAACAAAACCCAACTGTAAAGTTTTCTTCTGTGAATAGTAAACTGATTTACTTAACTGGAAATACAGATTAAAGGATGTTTAAGTAAGAAAGAGTTACATTGATACCGGTAACAATTTAAATAAAGTCAGAAACATCAAAACCTTTTTTGCCACTTAACCTTGAAGTATTCTTTCAAAATGAAGCAGTCATTGTGTAATACTCTAATTTCTGGAAGTTGCTTCAAAAATAACTTTTAAAGTATGCTTAAGAAAAAAATAAGACTTCACAAGTTAATTAATTACTGAAGCTCTGTGTAATGAAAATGCTTATCTTTTCAAAGGAACCAAACATGGCTTTTTAAAAAAATTGGTCACAGAGCATGATGCAGTCTATTATGTTTCCACCTTTGCTTTGGCTCCCAAGAAATTAGACCATGGTTTTATTGGTTGTGGTAGTTTTTTCATCAGCCTGGGGCTTCTTTCTTGAGCCTCTGCTCTCCTCCCTCTATTCTTTGGCTCTGAGAGCCAGGTGCTACAAGTAGAACATCTAACAAGGGGTGTAACAAATCCTAGGTGTTTTGTTTCTTTTTCCTTCTACCCTTGTTTGCTTTTAAATCTTGCTATAGTGGTTTTCAATTTCACCTTTGTCTTTGTTTTCTGACCTTTGTTAGCCTGTTGGGAGAGTTGGCAAAAGAAAATGTGGAGTTATTAATTTGTGTGGGAGTAAAGTCTATTTTCATGTGTTCTTTAGATTATTGGGGGTATTAGCAAACTTTGGATTGGAGTTAAAAATTGCTATTTTAAATTATTTTTATTATTAATTCAATAAGTAGTTATTGTGCACCTACTATGTATGTGTCAGGTATTATACTAGGTGCTGATAAACTGTGATTAACAAATAGATGTGTTTCAACTACTTACAGTCTTGGGGGATACTGTCAAGTAAACAAATAATGATAATAGAGTTTAGTAAGGGCTGTGAGGGGGATGCTATGAAAGAGTAGAGGAAGGGCTCTTAATTCTGGTTCTGCGCAGGGAAGCTTCCCTGAATAATGAGGTCTGAGATGAGATTTGGGTGGAGTTAATAACAGCAAATTGCTAGTATGAATTGATTATTTACTATCTCTGAGGCACTTTCTAGGTGCTTTACATACCTAATCTCAATTTATTCTCAAACCTACCCTAAAAGTTGGAAACTGAGTTATAAAAGGCTAATAAGCAGCTTGCAGTTATAAAAGGCTAAGAGCCTGTGTTCATAAGTACCACTCCTTAGATAGCCAGGTAAAAGTGGGAGCGCTCCAGATAGGGGTCCCTCTTCCCCTTTTGGCATGTAGATAGTGTGGAAAGCAGTTTGCAGTATTTATTATGCCCTTAAAAAGATTTAGAGCATTACTTTGACCAAATGGAAAGAAATTTGCATCTCAGTGCTAACTGTGTTTAAGATACTCTGAAGTTAGTTAAAACTGAATTAAGATCCTGTCCCAGGTGCTCAGGGAGCTTGCAGCAAGTCAGAGGAAAGTCATGGTTTATGCTTCTTTGTGACCGTAATCACAGTCTCCCCGTTGACGAGGATTGCTTCTTGGAGGGTGAATAATCTGGGTTGAGCCTTGAAAGATGAATAGAGTTTGGACAGGCAGAGATGGGAAATGGGAAGTCTAGGTAGAAAGATCCTAGAGAGCAAAAGCATGATGGTGGGACAAGCTTAGGGAACTTTGGGAGATGGGGATTTATTTTGTTTTAAAAATAAGAATGATAAAGGTAAGGAGGGGGGTTGGAATTGGGTTTCAGAGTCTCATTCCAAAGCTAGGTTCCTAACAAGAGAGCTTAAACACTTGAAACATTTTCTTTCTGTCCTTGAAAACAGGTCACTCCAATTTTGTTTGATTAGGCCTCCTATGATTCATTTTGCCTTTAACAATTCTTATTCAGTGTAACAAATTGTGATACAAAAGGTATAAAAAAACCATTTAATTTCATCACTTAAAGATAGCCACTATTAAGGTGATTTACCTTTCTATGTTCTTATTTACAATAAACTTATTCACAAAAATAGGACTATATTACACGTGCAAACAGCTTTGAAAGCTGTGTTTTTAAAAAATTTAATAATACAAAGTAGATAATCCTCAACCACAAATATTTTTAGTGACTAAATAGTATTTCACTGTACAGATACACTGTTATTTATTTGTCTAGTACTCTGTTGATAGGCATTTATGTGTGTGTGTGGTTTTGGCTGTTATTTATCTCTGTAACCGCCCTTTTATACTTCATATATTTAATTCTAGTTTATTTCCTTTTAAGTTTCTTCAAGTAAAGTAGATGGGTAGTTAAAAGGGTATGTACTTCTTTAAACCTTTTGAAACCTTATCGCCAGATATTCCTGTAGAATGTGTGATAGTTCCTCTTTTCTTCAGTCTCTCCAATAGTGGTAATATCAACCTTTTAAATATTTTCACTAAACAGAACACATTGGAGAGAAGAAATTATTCCCCCCCCCAAATTAATATGTTCTTTTATATCTTTTTTTAACCTATTATGTACATCTTTTTATATCTTCATTGGCTAAAAAATGCTCCATTTTGTGGCTCTATCTTGGTTTATTTAATTAGTTTCCTGTAAAAGGACACTTAGGTTGTTTCCAAAGTTTTACTGTTACAAACATGGTTATTTATTTATCTTTGCACAATTGACCCATTTGTAGTTTGTCTTCTAAAAGTATTATAGCAAGGTCAAGAACAATTCTTTTTGACATTAAATGGTTTACTGAATACTTGGTATTTTGATCGAATGTAATAGTCCAGTAAGTTAATAAGTTGAATTAACTTTGGCACTTAAAATTCTGCAAGTAGTAACTGAGAGAATATTAATTGCCAGGCACTATACAAGATTCTAAAGAATTCAAAAGTGAAAAAGATACTGAGTTTAGAATTTGAGTTAATGGCATAGTGGTATGAGATTACATCAGATGATTTTATGCCTTGATCTTGCCATAATGACTCTTAAAGGAAAACCATATAAGCGTATTTATTTATACTTCACTTATCTTTTTCCTAAACAGGAAAGTAGTTCTGCTTGCAGGATGGGCATTATTCTTATTCCTTGCATACAAAGTTTCCAAAACAGACCGAGAATATCAAGAATACAATCCTTATGAAGTATTAAATTTGGATCCCGTAAGTAGAATTTTTATATAATGAACGTTAGTTTAATGATCCCTTGAAAAGACTGTAAATCCATGTCCTAAAAGAAATTGGGCTGTGCCTAAAAATAAGACTTTGGTCAGTTAAAATTTTATTAAAATGAGGTTTCTAATCCATTATTTATTATTCTAATGTACATATGTTTTTTAAGCTACAGATGTTGGTTGCCATCCTATTAAGAATTGATTGTAATTGCTAAAATGTAAGACTATTTGAAGATCAGATGAGAAGTTAGTATCTTTTTAAAAGATGTGCAAGATGGGTTTAATGCAAAGTTAAAACCAGGAGGTTTATATATGTTAATTGTATGATTAAAATGTTATGTTCCTGTGTTAGTTGACACTGTGGTAAAGTGTTAACTCTTTATGTCTTATAAAGAACTGGTGTCATTGTCATAAAAATCACATTAACCCTTGGGTGTACCTCTTGGATGATCTCTTGATTGAACTTGATTGATGGATTTCCAACAGAAAATTAGTCTTTTAGGTATATTAGTGGAAATGAATGCTAGAGGTCAGCTATCCTTCCTTCCTTCCTTCCTTCCTTCCTTCCTTCCTTCCTTCCTTCCTTCCTCCCGTCCTTCCTTCCTCCCGTCCTTCCTCCCTCCCGTCCTTCCTCCCGTCCTTCCTCCCGTCCTTCCCGTCCTTTCTCTTTCGTTCTTTCGTTGTTAATCCTCACCGGAAGGTATTTTCTCCGTTGATCTTTAGAAGAGAGTAGAGGGG